ACATGACAGCCACCATTTGGATCTACTCCGATGCATGGCTCTATTTAAAAGCAAAATAGCAAGGAAGACTCGTAGTGGTATCATTCATTTGTATTAGATATCAATTCGATCAGCATTGATCCAGGATCCGCTTCATCTCATCCCATCTCTGAGCAGAAACATCCACAAGCTGGCGCAGATCATCACTGTCCACAGTCCAACCACCATGCTTCTCCATCTTCACAATGACCGTCTTCCCGTTCTCTTTATCAACAACAACAGAAGCCCGCTCTTGACTCAATCCCTCCTCGTATCCATCCGGATCCGCAAGGATCCACCTTTGCTGCGCACCCTTCTTTTGCTTCTGCTCCTCGGCATCGGGAATGACAACCGCCCTCCAACCAGCAGCGGCATCGCCCTCAAAAGAGCAGAACGAGCTAGCAACAGGCAACCCACGCAGAGACAACTTTCGCGCATCGGCAACATTGTCCGAGCAGAGGATTGTCTCGTTATCGGCATCCCACCAGGCCTTGGGAAGCTTCGTGTCCCGAAGCGCAGCCAAGACAGAGGCCCAGGCCGCGTCGAATGGGTTTCCAGCCAGAGAAATGATCATGACATCAATGTAGAGCACCCAGAATGCCTTAATCTCCCGCTCAGGGTCCTCGCTTTGTTCTGTATCCACGTCCATCCCCTCGCCCGCAGTGCTGAATTCCTCCGAGTCCAGATTCGGCGGCTGATACCAGATGCGCAAGTCGTCTGCTCGAACGAGGCGGGTGCTGTGGAGGAGAGAGAGGATTTGGTGGGAGAGTGACTGGGCCAGCGCAGAAGGTGGTGCACCGGGTGTAAAGCCTGGCGCGCAGCCAGTGCTGAGGGAAAGGTTGGGAACAAGTAGGTTCAGATCTTGGACGTGGCCTCGATCTTCCTCATCTTGGGACTTTGAGACTCCCACATCATTTGACTTATCGAAATTTTGCTCTGATGAGGCCTGCAATACGCTCCAGGAAGCGATGTCCTTGGTGTGTAGGATCTCTGCGCGAACGCCGCAGACAGCGGCTGTGTCGCCGATTCGTACGACTGCGCTGCCGTTTGTGTGAGTTAGAGAGCCGGCATTAGCGGATGTGACACGGAATTGTGAGGTGGTACGACCGTTCGCGCGAATTGAGGGCTGGTTGCTCGCTGGTGGAGGAGAGAGGTGAGCGAGAAGGTAGGCATGAGGTTGGAGGCGGGCGAATTGAGACGGTGGAAGGGATAATGACGGAGGCGTCGGGTTAATGGGAGTAGTTGAGGATGCCATGACTAAGTAGGATGCCCCTACTTTGTCAAATACTGATATGGAAATGATCAAGATGATGCAGAAAAAGCCGACGAGCATGAGATGGCAGAATAATTTCCTATCGAAGGCGGTCGAAGCTGTCAGTGATGCCCCAGGCAACAACTGGAGTTTATCTGCCGAGACTTTCGCGGGGTGTATACAAGACCGTCTGACAGCCCTTGAGGAACCACCAAATTGTGTGAGAACTATCCATATTAGAAGAGCACCAATGGCAAATTCCTGTATAACCGGTATTTGATATTCCAATGTTGGATATGACACGAAACTTGTCTACTGTATACCACGGGACGAGACCATTGCCGTTATGCAGGAACCAACGCAGGACCTCAGCTCCAAAGTTGAGATGACTCCCTTAAAGACGTTGGAATGTTGGTTGCTCTGATTGTCTAGGCATACATGGTACTAGGGACCTGTCATCTGTCAATATCTTACTGTGGAAGTCATCGTCAAGGGAACTACAATATACTACTGGTTGCTATTCGCTTCGGCTATCTATACTCCGCATAAACAACCTCTTCGATCTCTTTGGTAGCCTTTGCATGAAGTCACAGACAACCCAGATTCTTGAGCCTATTTATACATTGTCCCTGTGCAACAGCTCCCATAATTTCGGCCAATAACCGGCACGACCAGCCGGAGATTATGAACTACACCTGCAGTATAAGTCAATTATAATTGGATGGGTATTTTCGACATAAACATCAATGAGAGAATGATAACCTGGGTGTTCTGCATCTTCCCCACGCTAATGCGGCTCGGTCACCCCAGTCACTCTGCTGCTAATATCGGCCCCTGTGATTGGGCTTCGGAGCGCTAAACCGTCACGCATCACTGGAATATCCCTCATGCGCTCCGACCAGCATGGCGAGACGCCTGTGCTCTGATAAAATCTGTCCGCGATAGCCGTCTTTCATTGGCTAAGTGTCTGGCCAGCCACAATATTCCATTGTTGGGCTTATGCTATCACAATGCCGAGAATGTAAGCTTGTGTGACTCCCCGCTTCCATTTTTCCATACATTTAGACGGAATTTCGCTCGAAAATTGCTTTTCCGCTTGTTGACTTCGATGGCATCAATACTGATAGCTCAGTAAAGATATGATCGCAGTCCGACCATAGTACAAGAGACGGGCGATATCTAAAGGTAGTATATTCCATGCAAGACTCTATCTTGAGATGGATCTAACTAGAAGCAATTGCAGAAAACTATCACTGTCGAATGTTGCCGACTAACGCACTGCAAAATGTTGAGCACTATCGCCAAACGCATCAATGTCGCGATCACGGCGTCGACGACTGCAGCCGAGGCAGCTGAAATGCAGCGAGATCCATGGTCAAAGTCAGCAAAATACGGAGTAGGATTTGTCTATTTCGCCGTCGTGCTGCTGATAATCACGACCTTCGTCCGATGCTGGCATAAATGGGGCGACAAGATGCGGATTGCCCTCTATAAAGAAAACCGACCAGAGATCTTTCGCGACGACTCGGTACCGGACGAGTACGAACTCCCAAGTGCAGGAACTGATGCTTCCAATGCCCATTTCTTTCCATCACCGACCGCAGTCTCTCCGCCTAAGAGACGCGAATCGATTCTTGCTAGGGTAGTTCCCTTGAACAAGGCAATTGCCTTTACGCGATGGATCTTCTATCGACCAGTTCCCGTCCTGAAGGTTGGGAAGATAGAGCTTGTTTTCCCGTCTTTGGCAGTTACGGCGATTGTCTTGGTTGCATTTACCTTCGTCGCATTATACTGTTTCGTGCCACAGCCCTTATACTACTGGTCAATTGCGCTGGGGTCGCCGCCACTGGCTATTCGGGCAGGCATGCTCGCAGTAGCTATGATTCCCTGGATTGTTGCGCTCAGCACCAAGGCAAACTTTATCACTATGATGACTGGCCTTGGTCCCGAGCGGCTGAATGGTCTGCACCGCTGGTCAGCCTATATCTGCCTCTTCCTCAGTTTGGTCCACATGGTCCCGTTTTACATCACCCCAATCTGGGAAGACGGCGCTTTGGTGAACTATAGCATAGGCATCCCACCGCACGCCTATGTGTATGGAACTGGAATTGCAGCGCTAGTTCCTCTGCTTGTATTGTGTATCCATTCTCTTCCAATCTTTCGCAATTGGATGTATGAGCTTTTTGTCTTTGTGCATATCCCAGTCTCGTACATCTTTGTGGCGATGCTCTTCTGGCACACGAGGAACTACCTGTCATCATGGGCCTATCTTTTCACGACCCTTGCCATTTGGGTCATTTCATATACCGTCCGGCTGTTCTACTTGAACTGGACCCACCCTTTGCGTTCGTCATTTTTGATCGGAGAAGAGTCGGCCATAACCCTTCTTCCGCAAAATGCCATCAAGATCACTATTCCCACAAAGATGCGTTGGAAACCCGGGCAGTATGTCTACCTACGTCTGCCGAGGATTTCCGTGATCCAGAGTCACCCTTTCACCATCGCCTCTCTTTGTAGCGACGACTTCCCGTCTGCGTATGGTGAAAAGTATCGTGACATGACACTTGTTTTCCGTCCATTCCATGGTTTCACACGTGAGGTATTCCAGAGAGCTTTGGAACACGGGCCCTACAAAACATACAGCGCATTTGTAGAAGGGCCCTATGGTGGTATGCAGCGCGAGATGGCTGCTTTTGACGACGTGATTTTCTTTGCCGGAGGAAGTGGGATTACCGCCATTGCAAGCCAACTGCTGGACCTCATCAAGAAGATTCGAGATGGCAAGGCTATCACTAAGTCGGTCAAAGTCATTTGGGCACTCAAGAGCCCCGAAACAATGGAATGGTTCCAAGAAGAACTACGAATCTGCCGTGACTACGCACCTTCGAACATCGTGAGCTGCCATTTCTTCCTCACCGGAGTGAAGCAAGATGACCAAGTTGGACGGGATATTGTACAAGAAAAGATCTATGGCATGCTCCAGGGCATCGATAAGCGGAACTCGGCTTATATACGCGATGAAGCTGCCGGCAACCCTGATCTAGAAAAGGAATTGCGCCGTGAGAATGAAGACGGTGTTGCTGCTCTTCCCAATGCGTACATGGCCACCCATGCGTCCAATACCCGCCAATATTACCAGCCTGCAACGAATCTTCATGGCCCCGCTGCATCAACTGGTTATGGCAACCAAAACTTTGACTTTGGATTCGGCGCACCTCAACCTGTGCCACAAAGGCCACCGCCAGCACCTGCACCACGGTTTGCTTATTATCAGCCACGTGGACGCGATAACTGGCGGACTGATTACTTCCGCCCGAACATCACTCAGATGGTCAATGAGTTTTCCAAAACCTTTGGCCGCCGTGCGTGTGTTTTCGTCTGTGGTCCGCCGAGCATGCGAGTTGAAGTCGCCAACACGGTGGCTAAACTGCAGATGCAGGTGATTACGGACTCGTCAAGAGATGAGATCTTTTTGCATGCCGAGAACTATAACATCTAATGTAGCGTTGCTATCTTCTCTTGATTCGATACCCATGGCGTTGCAGTCATATGAATATTATGGCAGTTCTTTCAATGCTCAACTTCAGCACGTAGGGATGTATACCGCGATAGATCATTTCTCATATTCAAGTAAAATACTATCACCGCACGTACTCTCCTAAATCAAACGCATAAACATATGCAAAGGGTATCCAAGGTATATCAGAAAGCCACACATGCAAAGCACATCTCACTCGACCTGAGGCTTGTGATTGTCGTCTTCAGCCTTGCGCTTGCGCGAAGGCGTATCCTGTTTTTCGAGGGCTTGTGACTCGTTCAAATGCTGTATTCCATGGTCATCTTCTTCGCCATCCTCCGCCTCCACCTTCTCCCAGTCCTCGTCTTCTACTTCACCAGGAGAAGCTGTATTCTGCGAATTTCTTTCTGTCGGAGCAGCTGTTTCATGTTCCTCGTTCCGGTTCAAATCTAGTCGTACGATCTTCGCTCCCGACGGCTTCAGTCGCCGATAGTATTCGGCTACATCTCCGTCAACCCTAAATCCACGCGCAATATACCATTTCAGCCCCTCTTCGTTTGCCTCATGGACATGTGCTGTAACAGAGCAGATGTTATAGTGCCTGACGATCTCGGAAACACGGTATGAGTCCTTGCCCTTGCTGTCCGGTGGTGACGCAAAGAGAAGCGAATTCAACAGTGACGCTGCCACACCACGGCCCCGGTAAGGCGAGAGAAGATGTAGGGTCTGAATGTAGAGATTTGTGGGACATCCGTTTCCTTCAACTTTGGTCTCTTCGTTTGAGTCCTCTGCCTGTCGGACTCTCTCTAGGCGACACCGAATGCCCCCGATGACCTTGTCCGTCCCGGCAGATGCGCCGGACCCCGGCGCCGCAGCAACAGGGTGGTCATGGTAAATGGCAACCCGCGAAATAGAAGCAACCACTGGGTCGGTTATGGTAGCTGTGTAGAACGAGTTTGGGTAGCGGATAGGAAGGAGCAAGCCCGTGATCCGCGTCAACGAAGGGATATGCGCAGTGTTGACTTTCTCGACTGTGATATGGGGGTGTGGAGTCACCACACCAGCTGGAATATCATGAGGATATGGGACAAAGACCTCTTCTTTCGAGCGTTTCGGGCCAGACGTGTTTGCGACGGCTGATTGAGGCAGCTGGACTGGAGGGGGGTGGATGGGAGGCCGCGCTGAATGGCGGTTGGTCGGGGGAGGGGAAAGCGAAGACGCAGAAGTTGCTGGCCTTGTCTGATTCTTCGCAAACAGCTGGTATGCCATTTTGGAGCAAAATTAACGGCTTGTGAACGAACAAGCAGAGAGGTACCTGGGCAGCGAATGCGGAGATCCGATAAGATAAGCCCAGTGAACAACTTGCTCCAGCCTCATCCGTCTCTTCATCGACCTGAGTGATATTTGATTCGCAAGCAAATAGACACCTCAATAGGTCAGTGCCTTATTTGCTGTTGACGCCTGCTCTCTATTGTTTGTGTCGATAGAACACCTTCATTGATCACATTGCCTTCCCCTATTCTTGCTGGTTATTAATCCTACCTCGCCCCATTATTCAAACTCACAGACAATAGGCCCTACACTAGGCTATACAATTCAGGCCTCCCTATTGTCGTCTTTCTTCCTTTTATTTCGGCTTCTATGTTTTGTACTTCCTCTTTCTTCTTGTCTCCTAATCCGTGCACCCATTGCGTCAACCCTGCATAGATTTCCAGTACATGGAGAACTAAACCTCGGACCTAGCGGTTCGGAGCACTCACTACCTGTGTCGCGGGGAGACACAGCCGTCGGTCAATCAGGACCGGACGAGAAATATTTGGCGCATCCTTGTCCGGCCGCGATCCGAAAATGGCAGACTCCAACAGCAGCGGTGGTCGCAGGCCGACCTATCCTGCTGGAACGATCGCTAAAGTGGTATGGTAGCCCTGAGCGAACTTCATGGGTTGTGCAATGCGAGTTCTAATTACTCTTTTTCCCTAGGCTACCGACATCCTCAACGAAACATTCCAGAACATCATCCACGACCTTGTGGCCAAAGTTCACCGCGAAGAGAAGGTGGCGCGCATGCGGTCCGCGGTGGTTCTCGCCCGACAGAAGGCGGAGGAAGATGCAATCATGCCGGATGAGGCACCTAGCAAGACCTCGACCGATACAAAGAGAGAAGTTGTTCTCGACACCAAGAAGCTCGCGGGTATGCGCATGGAGACGGACGCAGCCGTTTTCAACCGCGGAAAGGTCTTCCTCAAGGGCAATCCCATGCAAACCGTGAAGGAGCATGTGTGCCCAGATTGCCGCCTCCCAAAGCTCATGTACCCGACCACTGGGGCTAATTCTTGCCCCCCTCCCGATCCCAACGCCGAGTACTGTACGAGTGTACCTATGATCGACCTGCCCGGCCATGATGTCCACGGCAAACTCTTTGCAGTCATGCCGAATCCCAAGAAAAAGAAGGGTGACCGAGACAGCACCATTCCTGAGATTCCAACTACCAAGTGTCCTATCTGTCCGCGGTACTTCGTCATGACCCGTCTCGCCCAACACCTTGAGCGCTGCGTTTGTGGTGGTCGCACCGGCCGCAATCAGACTCCCACAGATAGTGGAGCTAGCAATGGCAATAGTCCCGGTTCATCAGCACCCAAGCGCCCTTACGGAGATGACGACGAAGAAAGTCCCAGTCCCACAAAGAAAAAGAAACTCAATGGACCCAAGAAGGGCTCCACCGCAAAGCCCGGTCCCAGTAAGCTCAAGCAATCATTCACGGTTGAAGACAACGACGATGACATCAAGAGCGAGAACGCCGACTAAGCTTCCATTTGTTTTCCCATACCCTTTTTTTTCTCCTATCATTATGTCCGCGGCGTTTGAGCTTTGTGTTGATGGGCTGGTTATGTCCCATGGCGTCTCTGGGTCTGGTTTGGTCTGGTCATGGTTTGACCTTTCCTTCGAATAAATCTGCATAGATGAATGATGACGAGGGGGATGGGCTTTGTAGGATGTACATTACTTGATAACATGAAATACAACTGGCCGAGGCACTACAAGAAATATGCAACTGATTGTTGTGCTAATATCAATATCTCTTTCGTTTCTTATTCTGGGCACGATCAATCCCGTTACTTTGTCACCGCGCCGCGCAGCCTTTCCTTCCACGGCGACCCGTAAGGAATTGAGATAGAAAAGGACGTTAACTCCAAACTATCCTTTTTGGGTCTCTTCATCTTGGCGTTAGTTCCGCCTGCTTCCCGTGTTGTGTGTCTTGATAGGAGCAATACCGTTTTTTCTGGTCGTTTCTGGGATATGGTAGAAGGGAACCGGTTTCCCCCAAACCCGCTTAAGTAGACCAAAAAGTGCCCGGAAGAGCTCGAAGTACATCGTGGTAGTGTTTGTATTCACAAAAGCTCTTGCGAGGACCGCCCTAGCATACCGCCTATTCCTTCGTGAAGCAGATCACGCGCATATTGCTCCCGTCGCTCTATACCTCCTAGATATAGGCGGAACTAGGATCTTTCCGATCCTTAGTGATCATTCGGTAAGTAACCGCTAAACAAGTAAACTTATTAGCAAAGAATGGTTGTAGATGGGTAAGAAGGGCAAACCAAGCTTACCACAACATCCTTATAAAAAGAAAAATGGACTGATCGGTATCGTATGCCTCCTCCACCATCTCCACTTTCATGTTCGGCGGTAGATCATCGATCGCATTTTTGAAGCTTTGCAGTACTTCCCTATGACCCTGTACTTTGCTCAGAGATTGTACTAACAATGTTATTCGTTGGAGCACAGATTGTCTCACGGTTAATACTCACGATGTGAGATGCGTGGAAAGCAGGACCCCAACACACAAGGAAGACACACAAAGGTTGAAGAACCAGGCGGGAGAGAACGGGCCAACCTGGGCGTGGGTCTGAACCACACGTACAGGAAACTTTGGAGGTAGATTGCGAGACTCGCAAGAGTGCGGAGCAACCCCGGACTTGGGCGCAGGCGCAAAGGATGATACATCAGAGGGAGCATCAAGGTCGGAAAGAGCACGCATCAGCGAGCTCATATCGAAGGTCATTCCCTTGCTGGTCAGGTTTATTCTCGGGTTGGGAATTGGAGCTCTCCCCATCCCCTTTGGGAGTTGAACTTTGGCCCTGTTGGTTGCGGGCTTGGCCAACTGTGTTCTGGCGAGCTGGACCGACGTTGTTGTTTACGGGATTTCTAAGTCCCGGGGTAGAAGCTAAGGAGGGGCAATTAGTTTCTCAAGCTCGGCAGGGCATCTGCTAGAGACGACATGTCGAGAGTCAGTTCAGCCCTGGGGGGAAGGTTGGTGTAGAGCACGTCGGCCAAGCTGCTCCTTATGGATGGCTGACGCTCCCCGAGTAAAGTCCCCATGCACAAACTCGACTTGGCAAATTTTGTCGAGGAGTTCTCGAAAGTTGGCAATCGAGGTCCGCGTGAGTCATCGATGACATGTCGAAGTCAGACCTATAGAGTGAACTACCGGGGGCAGGCTCAGGCAGGGCATCCTTCATTGAAGACATATCGAAGAAGGTTCGTGCAGAGAACCATCGGTGGCAGGTTTAGGCGATGACCCATTGGAGGAAGGTGCGGACCGCGGAGAACTGGCTCATGACGTTGAAGTGAGGATAGTCTGAGAGACGACCGAGAAAAGAGGGAAAGGATGAGTCCCAAGTGAGGAGAAACTGAAGCGTAAGTAAGTGTTCGAAGAATGAGACTTGGAAAGTGCATAGCAGAGAAAGAAAGAGACTTCAGGTCTATAGTAAAGAAGAACGTGACTTCAGAGTATGTAGGAGGATATAGACGAACTACCCGCGGATGTTCATATCGTCGGCCTTGAAGGAGGGTTGGAGGTATATAAATATAATGTCGGCGGCTGAGAGGTATGCGATGGACTAATATATATTTTTGATACAGTTAATAGTAAAAACATTTCCTTCAGTCTTTTGGCATTGAATCAGGCTTTATTTTATTTGGCCCTTATGGGTAAAACCGTTTGACATATTATTCTGACAATTTCTTTGACAATACAACCCACAGAAGCAGAGTGACAGACCTAAACCCCAGCATATAAACTCAGATACACACCCCAGATCACCCCACATGCACTTCCAAAGACTACTCGTCTGTCTACAGGAATGACTGTGTACATTAGGACCGAAACGACAGGCCTGTACTTCAAACGGGCACTCATAAGAGGCCGGAAATCCTACACAAGTCAGCTCGTGTAATCAATACTATTGTTCAACAGAAGAAGCAACTTACCAAAAGAACCAAATCCCATGACTTTGCCAGAGTCTCTCCCTTCAGCAGATTGATGAGAACCACAAATAGCACGAGATTTACAACGGAGGCAGCCGTCTGATCAAAGAAGAACTTCATAACGAAGCTACGCAGCCCAGATCTCTGCGCTCGTGGCGCCCATCGGACATGCTTTTCTTTCTCCTTGTGGCTAGGGAGCGAATCCTCCTGGCGAGATCTTGAGAAGAGAGATAGCCAAGGGTGAGGAGAGAACAAAGATCTCAGAGATCGAACACTGAATGCATTTGAGAGTTCGGCACGCGTAGGAAACCCCGGATAACGCGCTTCAAGGGCGCGTTGCCAGTAGAAATTGGGGGCCACAATTAAGAGGCCATAGCCCAGAAATTGGAGGAGAGCCGGTGTGTTTAAAGTGAATGGAGTCTGACATTCGTTAATTCTCTCATGTTTGAGCATACAACATAGAAAGTCCTTACTTTGCTATTGTACTGGTCAATCAGCTGCGCGGCGATGTTTGAGCAGGCATTCAAAACGGTCGCTTGCACGAAGGTCACAATCAATGGGGAGGTCATAATGGATATCCCACTTCAACCAAATCCATGTAAATATCGTTCAAATGTACACAAGGCAAAAAAGGCGAGGCTTGCCAAGTCGCGCAACCGTGTCCTGAGAAGTTAACAGGGGGCGGATAAGGCTGAGAGATTAAGCGACACTTGGATGTTTCAACTTCTTTTTACGTCTTCTGCACCGCTTTTAGATAAATTGCCTAAAATAACTAAACTGAATTATCTCCGCCGAAACACAACATTCGGTCCATTCTTCGCGGAGGTGAAATGATCCGTCAGCGCCAGGTGGCCCGCCACGTCTTCGCCCTGACGATCCGCCAATGACATGTCAAAGAGGAACACCAGCCGCGCCAGTGTCAGCCGCATCTCCATAAAAGCCATGCTTTTGCCAATGCATCCACGGGGCCCAATGCTAAACGGACAAAATGCGTGCCGCGCTGTCTCAATGCTCTCCTTGGTCGTCTTCCAGGACATTCCAGAGCCCATGCAGGTGGCGTCCTCAATCCAGCGCTCGGGGATAAAGGTCCCTGGTTCCCGGTAGTATCGCTCTTGGCGGTGGATGGAGTATGTTGGAGTGCCGCAGTCTGTGCCGGCGGGTAAGAAAACGCCATCGACCACAGCGCCGCCTTCCATCACTTCGCGGGGAATCGCTCCGGGCACGGCTGGGGCCAGACGCAACGCCTCGTCGATGCATGCTTTGAGATACACCAGTTCGCCGAGCTGGCTGCTGGTAACGATCTCTTCGACTTCGTTGAAGGTGCCGCGCACCTCGGCACACAGCTTAGCCAGTGCTTCTGGTCTCCGAACTAGGTAGAAGAGTGTGGCTGCCAGTGTAGTCGAGGTTGTGTCGCTGCCCGCAATCATGAGGACGTTCGACTCGCCCCAAAGCTCGGGCGTGCTGAGTCCATTGCCAGTCTCCGGATCCTTCGCGTTCAACAGGTAATAAAAGAAGTCCTTCTTGGCATCCCGGCCAATCTGAGTACGCTCCTTAGCACGCTCGTTGGCTTCAACACGCGAATTCATAATGAAGTTCCATCGGTCGCGCGTCAGCTTGCGGATGAATATCTGGTCCAGACCCCATGTGTCCAGGGGCATCCAAAGTCCACACTATGACAGAATCAGATAAAAGTGTTCCATAATGATGGGGCAAAAATTGAAATGCTTACCACATAGTGCCTGTTCGCAGCACGATCCACCAACCCAACTTTATACCTCCGAGTCTCAGAAATAAGCATATCAAAGCTCTTGCCGAAGCAGAGCTCTCCCATAACATCATACGAGAGATAACTAAACCAGTCACCCATGTTCTTGACATTGCCCTTCTGATCATGCGATTCGAAATCCCCATCATACCCAGCTAGTACGGCACACAGCTGACGTACATGGAGGAGCATCACATCCTCCATGCCCTTGAGAGCATTCTCTGAGAACGCCTGGCTAAGCACTCTCCTTTTGCGACCATGCATGGTTTTATCAATAGCGTTGTGCGTGTTATACACGCCCTTGATGGCGGGGAAAGCATTGTAGAATTTGGCCTTCTGAAGGCGCTTCCCGTGCCCGTAGATATCGTGCAATCCACGGTCAGAGTTGACAGAGACAAAATTAGGCGCAACACGCACGTGTGTTCCGTACTGACTATGCAGCTTGTGTAGCCAGAGATGGCGGTCCCCCTTCAGGCCATGGTAGAGCTGGACCCAGGGTGTGATGGATGCGAGGAAGGGGCCGTTGACACGACGGAGCGGGTGAATGAATCGATTGTAGACGGTGTAGACGAGGGTCTGAAGTGAGTTAGATTATTTTACTTTAGAAGACAAAATACTTGGGAGTGGGAAGGCATCAAAATGTATCGAAAGGACAGGATATGCGTACCGCTACAGCTAATAGCCCTACCAAGCCTCCCAGAACCCTCTGTAGGGAAAGGCACTCTAGCATAGATTCAACGAGCATTTTGAGAGATGATCATGAAGGAGCAAGCTTTCAAAAAGTTACTTTATCAGATGTCTCAAACTTCAATGTTCCTTTATACTCCAGCTACCGCCGATACCCGCCCCCAACCGAAACTGCTCAATGACGACGGATCCGTCCTGTGCTAGGACTGGAACCCCAATTAAGAGTTGTTAATTTCTACTACGATAGATAGGGTATGTTTTGACTCGGTTATAGGCGGTTGTTTTTGGATGATCCGTACATTGCAGCACCGGTGATTGGTTATGCTTAAATATCCACGCACTAGTTAACTATCGTTTATGGTATCCGCGGGGAAGTCTGCTTCATGTCTGGTACTTTTGTGGGGATTCAGGATGTGGGTTTCTGGGCTCAAAAGACAAAGGAACGAAACATTGCAACCTGAGACCCTGTGGTGAAAATCGTAGGGGTTCATTGTCGT